GTGTGTGTGTGTGTGTGTGTGTGTGTGTGTGTGTGTGTGTGTGTGTGACTCGCACATGCACACACAGACGTTTTCCTCACTGCATCTCATGTCTGTGCTGGCTGACCCCTGCCAGCTCTGATTAAGGAGCTGCAGTGATGTGCTCCTTTGAACCGATTCCCTCCTTTTACACTGAACACACTCGTCCTTAGCTGCTATCAGGGGGTGTCGGTCCCCCCACCAGCAACTTAATGAACCAAGACTGCTGGAAGCTGTAGGGGGACTTGCCAAAATTAAATCCCTGAGTGTATTGAGTGCAGTTAATGCGGCTATAATATAATTTAGTGTATTTACCTGCACTCTAGTAAATATTGTATCTTTTTTTTTGTATGCCCTGTGCTACTGCAGTCGAGCCCTAATACATCTTCTCCCAAGCTGTCGGTATAATAAAGTAATCTTTGTCCGAAGTGACAAATGTGTCCGTCACTCAGCTGTAGTGACACCTAAGGTCTCCTGCATGAGCGATGGCAACTCTTTCACTGACTTCAATCTCAGTATGTAGTCCTCAATTGTGCATGTGCTCAGATGTGCGCACGCACACGCACGGTCTCGTGGATTCGCCAAACAAACACCAATTCACTAATTTGCCCCCAATAGAATGCGAGAAATGCTTTACGCTACACTGACAACTTAAGTGAAACAACGCGTTTGTGCACCGTCACACTTCGCCAGCCTGCTGCATTATGTGTGTTTAAGAATAGCCCCGTGCAGCCCAGGTATTTGTAAGTGTCAGTAGTTTGTTTGTTTGACACTCTGATGTCACGACCCCAGCTTGCTGACTGCTCACGTTCCTACCCTCTACCCCCCGCACCGCCACCCCCAGTGAAACGCCATTGTCCGACAGCACTGACCTGCACCCATCCTCCTCTCTTGCAACCCTCCCCTCCACCCCATTTATGCTCACCCTGCACTTTAGGACAGCCGCCATGCTACCCCTCCTCTCTGCACACACCCGCCTAAACCCCTGCCAAACAATGTCGAGCGGACTTATTCTTTTCCACTCCGCCATTATGTCATCCGCTGATCATTCCAGAAAGGCACGGCCCACTCCTTTAGCCCTGTTCCACCTTGGTGCAGCTGTTTCACCACCTCTGGTTCCCCAACTTTTCTGCCCGTTTGGTTCCTCCCATTTTGGTGCGCTTGCGTGTGTTTGACTGCCATCCCAGATTACAAAGTGTGTGTGTCTGTGTGTTTGTGTGTCTGTGTTGTCGAACAATGGCCAGAGTCTAATCTCCATGTCAAAACCGCTCTGCCTCCCCAGCGAGCAGTCCGCTCAGCGTTTAGTAGCGTTTTGTCCTCCTATTCTTCAAGCACCACAGAAAGAGCAGAAAGGAGGGAGGAGTGAAGGCCTGTGAGTGTGTGTGTGTGTGTATTTTTGTGTGTGTGTGGATGTGGGCAATGGTTTAGGGGTACAAGCTTTTCAAAATTTTGAGCTCAAGCAGTTTCAAGGAGTCTGAGCAGCAAAGCAAAAATGTTCTGTGTGTATGTGTTTTTAGGAATTAAATTACAACTTTGAGTGCAACATTTTATGGTTAGGCAAAATCCTGAGCCCCTGGTGTCCTTATCTAGTTGTATGGATGTTTAGACAGTGTGTTTTCACTGATGAGGCCAGCCGGAAAAAAGAGCTGGGAGACCCGTAGAGCTTCTTAATAGGTTTACCTCGCCCTATTGAATCCAGCCGAGCGGCACAGATCAGATAGCCACAGTGCTTATCTCTGTCTCTCTTCCTCCTTTCCTTCTTTCCTTGCTCTTTTTCTTCTCCTTTCTTCCTGTGCGGGAGGTGCGGAAAGGGGAGGAGGATCAGAGTGTAATTGGTGAATGGGGTTAAGTACATGTTTGAGCCCCCCGCGGGCCAGGGCGCTTCAGATGATGACTTAATCGTTTTTCTGGTCAATTATGTGTTTGCGGTCTCACCCCCTCTGTTCCACCTCTCCCTCCACTCTCAGGGTTATGATAGGGGGGAGGTCTGCTCCCAGCGGGGAAGATGAACCACAGCCACACACATACACTCTCTTCCACTCCCTCTTTTCTCGCCTTGCCCCCCTCACGGCTTGCTGTCTTAGTTAATATCTCTATTATCTTCCCTCACTCCATAACCCGGGTTTCTCGCCACCTCAGATCACGCTTCAGCTCTCGTATATGAAAAGACACTGTGTCATCCTTACACTTCTTCTCCCCTCACGCTCAAATCCAACAGCTTAATTAGGTCTACAGAAGAGAGCCTTGTCTTTGTAAAGTTTGCACGAAGCGTATTTGCATATTTCAAAATGTCTTTGAATTGAATTTCGCGTGAAGCAGTCTTTCTAAAACGTGCTAAACCCTCCCTCATCTCTGATTCCAGTTTAACCGCTGCATAACTTCCCAGCTGATAAAGTGGTTCAGCAACTTCCGGGAGTTCTACTACATTCAGATGGAGAAGTTTGCCCGGCAGTCCATCAATGACGGAGTCACCGGAGCAGAGGAGTTGAGCGTCAGCCGAGACTGCGAGCTCTTCCGAGCCCTCAACATGCACTACAACAAGGCCAACGACTTTGAGGTAAACACCAGCCAGGTTTCAGCGATTCTGTGCACGCCACACCGTAAAAACTGCACATGCTCCTAAGGAGGAACTGAGTACACATGCCGCCCTTATGAGCAGAAAAAAAAAAACTGCTGAATTTCACCTGATACCTGGTGATGTAGGCGGGTACTGTGACACCGTGTCCTCTCTGACACTGTCTCACTGCAACTGTCCTCAATGCTGAGTTCAAGTGTCTTATACATCCTGTGACACTGTGCTGTAATGCACAGTATAAGGTAGCTTTTGCGCCATCACGTAAAGCCCAGAGTGTTTTTGTTTGTGACGGTGCATTTTCTCAGGGTTTGTGTGAAGGGAAAGTTCCGAATCACCAGATCGGAAGATCCGTGTTTTTCACTCCAGTCTTCGTGAGAAACTCATCTAATGAGGAAGAAGCCTCGCTGACAACTTACCAGTTTTGCATTTATCGTTGTTAATTTCCTCTCGGGAGGGCGCCTGTGTGTGTGTCTGCAGATTTGTTTCTGAAAAACAACATTTTACTTCCCCGTATTCATTTACCTGTCACTGTGGCGTGACGTTTATGTGTGTATCTTCTAGCGTATTGCAATCATAAATTCTCAGAAGGCAACTTCACCTTTAATGTGTTTCATTTCTCTCACTTCTCCTTTTGCCTACCTTCGTGTGTGTGTGGCGGTGTGCGTGTGTGTCTGTGTGTGTATGATGTTTCAGGATCACCCGAACGCTCTCAATGTCAGCTGACAAAAGACCTCTTAAAAGCTTGTTTTAAGATGGCCCTGAAGAGAGTTGGATTTGGGGGTGTGTGCGCGCATGTGTGTGTGTATGGAGGTGAGCACTCGTGTTTGTGTATTTGTTATAGAGAGATTGAGCCTGTGTATGCGAGGGTTTTGTTGTTGCTGCATATCCCAGTGTCCTGTTCACCTCGAAGGGTACGGCCGTCCCTTGGACCGGCCTGGCATGCTGGCAAAGCACTTCTCCAGCATATGTGTGTGTGTGTGTGTGTGTGTGTCACTTTGAGGGGGGAAAAATCTCACTGTTATCAAGGTTAAGCGTCCTACTGTTTTAGTGAGGGGAAGGGGAGAGAAAGAGAGTGAGAGGGGGGTAAGGGGGAAGAGGGAGATGGATAGATAGGGGATAGAGGGTGAGAGCTTAGAGACAAAGGAGAAAGCGATGAAGGGAGGGATGGAAAAAGGGAATTGAGGGGCAAATGGAAAGGGGAGAAAGAAGGGTGGAAGGAGAGATGGGGGGGAGAAAGAGAGATGACGTGCAGGAGCGAAGTGCCCTTGCGAGCAGTGGGAGTTTTGCAAGCGCTCACATTTAAAGTGCCTCACTCTCTTTCTCTGTGTTTCCGTCTATCTCTCTCTGTCATTATTTGTCCACTGGGGCTCTTCTATGTGCACCCAAACACACACACACACACACACACACGCAGTTCCCCACATCCATCTTCAACCCTCTTAAGGGAGGCTTTGAAAGAGTGTAGCAGGCACTTGTATATATGAGGTCTTAATATGGCAAAAGGCCATCAGAGCAAAACAGAAAGAAAGTCCTTCTATTCAACTGCTCGTGAGGAGCGCAGAAATTATTGCGTGAGTCAGTAAGACTCGGGTCTAAACTAAAACAACAGCAGCTCTTTACCTACTCTGACAGGAGAATGGTAAGGATTTTATTTTATGTCTTTATTGTGTTCTAATCATTAAGGGTTCTTTTTTTCCCTTAAATTTGATATTTTCCAGAAGACTGCTTCAGCATTCATATCAAATTATGCTCTCCCTGTGAGGAATCACCTGACACCCCTAACAGGAAATGGAAGTCCCTTTTGGGAAACGAGCTACCAAAAAACACCCCACTCCAGAAATTTGCTGGGTGTACAGTCAGGCCGACAGAGATCTTTTAAAAGATGCTCTATGCAGAATGATATATATTAATTATATAGTTGCTCATATGTGGACTGCACATTAATACTACTAATGGCTTAAACTAGTAAAGGTTGGCTGAAGATGGAGTTAAAATTTCAAGTAGGTTTGGCTTTTTGGCTTTTAATGTAAGTAAATTTGAAAAATGTAACTAAGTGAACCTGTAAACACACACAGCATACAAGCTCACACTACAAATGGCACCATACATACAAAACACATGAAATGACATTCTTGGATAGGTTTGCGTGACTCACGTAATCTCCATGACTGGAGTTTGCAAATCCTAAAAAACTATGCACGCAACATCCAGTGAATATCCCGTACTTGCCCACACAGCGTTCACATGCCACCCCCTCCCCCGACAAAACCCCTTGTTTCTGAAGCATAAATTAGATGAGGCACCTTTTAGACAAGACTATCATTCTTCTCCTGGAACCAGGAAGTTACTGTTGAAACAGGCTTAAGGGGAACAGCCTATTTGCATACATAAATGTAAAAATTTGCAAGAAGACAGACAGAGAGGAAAAGAGTGAGAGAGGCCAGGTGAATAAGTCTTCTGTTGGCCGAGGAGTTGCAGCGGTGGAGGAGGGTGGGAAGGTGTTTTGCATATTAAGGTTTTTTTTTTTTTTTTTGCTGGGCAGGTGTCTGAGAGATACAGGAGCTGATTAGAGTTTAGCACAAGGAAAATTTGCCCAGCCATGCAAATTCTAACCCCCCTGACAAACCAACCGCCTTGGTGAGCACGAAGACTCTGCGTGCAAGAGTGTTAGTGTGTGGCTTTCGGTGCACATGTGTGGGTGTTATTAATGTGTGTGTGAGTGTGTGTGTGTGTGTGTGTGAGTGCGGGTGCGTGGGTTGTGTGTTTTTTGCTTTTTGATGTTTGTGTGGGAATGATGTGTTTGTGTGTATTACATATGTGCGCGGACACATTTGTTATGTTTTTTTTTCCTGTCTTATGTGTGTGTGCG